TGAAGACTCAGATGACGAAAATGACCTTGATTTTGATGTTAATAATTATAATGAGAAGAGAGATAAGAACAGTAATGTGATACCTTGAGGATTATTTTTGTTAGGGTGGAGTTAGCATGAATAAGGCATTTGCCATTGATAATAGTTATTAGAACCTCATTATAGTCTGGTTTGGATGATTAATTTTAATAAGTAGCTAGTGCTACAGAGTCTTTATTTGGGATTGATACCTTTATATAAGTTATAATAAGAAGTTGATATTTTATTTTTAAGAGCTTCATTTCACTTTTATTTGTGAGCAAGAGCAAGTTTAATTTTTGTAATCATATACTTTTTGGGGAAATTATTTCTTTGTCTATGATCAAACTTAATAAGAGTGTCGCGGGATGGGGAAATTATTTTCTTAACTTCATTTTATCCTGCGTATGAATCGTGCTTTTATTGTGTGGTTTTGCTTGGGACAAGGGGTTGCAATCTCAAGGTACCCTTTTGAACCAATTTATGTGACAAATGTAATATTGTGATTCAATGAATATGTGTGAATAGTATTTGGGTTTCGTTTAAAATGGAGTGCATATTTATTTTATTTCAGGCGTAGAGCTAGAATGGCTGAGAACGCTGCCTTAGCTGATGCTATTCGTTTGTTAGCTGAAAATGTGATCCAAAACCAAGGAGACCAAGTCGACCCCCAAGCTGAAATGTTTAAGAAGCTGGCCCAGGTTAGACCACTAGTTTTTAGGGGAGGTGCTGACCCTACTGTCCTAGAAAATTGGATTCGAGAGTTTGACAAGCTGTTCGTGGCACTCAACTGTCCCGAGGGTATGAAAGTGGACCAGGCCGCTATGTATCTTAAGGACGAAGCTGATATCTGGTGGAGAGACAATGCTGTGACTGTTAGGGCCAAACCTAACTTTGGGTGTGAAGTGTTTAAGACCTCCTTGAGGGACAAGTTTTACCCCCCGTTCCTGAAGAAATAGAAGGCTCAGGAATTTATAAGCCTGGCAATGGGAGACATGTCAATCTCTGAGTACTATAATAAGTTTATGACTCTTTTCTAGGTTTGAACCTGAGGTAGTACCAACTGAAGAGCTGAAGGCTTAGAGGTTTGAGCATGGATTGACTAACGAGTTACAGAAGGACCTAGCCGGAAAAGTTTTCAAAACCCTTGACAAGGTGTATGAGAGAGCTGCCCATCTGTACCATCTGAATACTAGGACTGCTAGTGCGAGTGCTAAAGCTGGGGAGAAAAGGAAGGATTTTGGGAAATCTGAGAACTAGGGTAATTTTAAGAGGTCTAGGAATGGGAACTCGTTTGATAGGGGTAACCAGAATGTTAGCAGTTCTTCCAATGCTAACAATGGAGAAAGAACCTACCACTGTAAGAAGTGTAGAAGGAACCACCCTAGGAGAGATTGTGATGGGAATTTGGTGACCTGCAGGTTCTCTAACAAAAGGGGACACAGGGAGTATGAGTGTTACACCAAACAGAAACAACAGGGAAATGGTGGGAATGGTGGGAACACCCAGCAGAGGCCTAACAATTTCAACAACCAGGGGAATAGGGGAAATGGTCAAAATGGGAAGTTTGGGAATGGTAGCAACAATAACACCAGGTCTGGCAATGGCAACAGCAACAACTCAGGCAACAATAACTCAGGCAACAACAACAATGGGTATCAGGCAAGAAACAACACTCCGACCGCTTGTCTGTGATGAGAAAGGGAGAAGCTGAGAGGTCCTCGGATGTAGTTACTGGTACTTTTTCTATCCAATCTATCTCTGTCAACACTCTATTTGACTCTGGAGCAGCTTATTCTTTCAATTCTACTTCTGTTGTGCGTAAGTTAAACTTAACTGAATCGAGTCATGTTGATGTGTCAGTCAGTCTGCCTACGGGCAAACTTGTTCATCGTAATAAAATATTCAAAGGCTTGCCTTTGAAAATAGGAGAAGCTATCTTTCCATCAGACCTTATTGAGTTTAACCTAGGAGACTTAGATGTAATTATGGGGATGGATTGGCTGAGTTTATACAAGGCTAAGATAGACTGTGAGATGCTGAGGGTACAACTGAGTGATCCTTTGGGTAAGAAAGTGTCCTATAGACGGTTAGGGAAGCATAATGGTTTTGGGATCATTTCTGCTATGAAGGCGACTTCTAGTTTTAAAGTGGCCAACCGGATTGTTTACACAAGGTACGTACAAGTTACGAAACCTTGCTTGTAGGAGCATGTTTAAGGACGGATCGAGAACTTAGTATCATGAATAGGATTGACTGGGTTAAATTGTCTGGTTATACATTGTGAATTTTAAATGATGTGCACTAGTTTATAATGCAAGTATTATTTGTGCTTTAATTATGCAAGGTGCGCTTAAGGCAAAGGTATGTGATTGGTGTAAAGATCAAATTATTACTCATTCATGATTATGTAAACAGGATGAGTAAAGGAGAAATTCAAGTCTTGTAAGACGAGGTTAAGGTTTTGGGGTGCCTTATGCACTCAAGGTGTTTATACACCGAGGTAGTAATGGAATAATTAATAAATGTTGTTTATCACTAATAAATCAAGAATCTAAATTGAGAATTTTCCATGTTTGATTGAATTGTTTTTGGGATGTTTGTATTGAAATGTACATGAGTCATCACCAAGTCTAAACCTGTAAATCACGTAAAGTGCAAGATGGATGAGCAATAAAACTCTGGAATGGTGCACATCTGGAGTAATGACAATCAGGGGTTGGGGTACATGGGGTATTAGCCGTGTACTTTTATCGAGGCAGTCTGATCTACGCTCCTATTTCAAATATTATTTTTCTAAAACTAGGAGTTAGGTGAGATCTCATACTAACTACGGTCACGGAGTCGCGCCCGTGGTCGTTGGATGTTTATTGATGTTTCCGAAAGGAGGCATGGGGTTTTTCTTTATTGATATTCCAAATGGGACATGGGCTGGACAACCTTGTCTATTGCTAAATCCAATGAAATAAATAAATGAGTCAGTTAATATTAATTAGTGAGGTCTTAATAAATTTAATAATCGAGTCATGTATTGAGTCTATATTTAATGATGCTTGTGCTTGATTATTAGTAGCATGTTAGGTATTTTCTTAATTTATTTCCCAGCTTGTATGTACTCAGCTTTGCTGACTGCGTGCTTTTGTGTGTGTGTCTTTCTTTGGTCATGGCCTTCGCCTTTCAATGACCCTGTGACGATCCAATTTTTACACTTATAATATTGGGGAGCAGAATAACCACATGTTCTTACACATGCAGCATTCATCAGGGTTGTGGGATCTTGAGTAGAGAGTTGGTTGTTTGCATTTTATTTCTTCTGCAAGTTTGAATTTATTTTAATTCGATTTTATTTGACACTAATTCTTTTGGGTTTGAATTTATTTGAACACTGAATTTAATCACTTACTACTTTTATTGAGTTTTGAATAAGGGCCTTAATGGTTCCAACTTGTAATACTTTTTTTGATTTAATTCCTTTGTTTTGAGGTTTATTTATAATTGTTTTGGTTTTCCTCTGCTAATTTCTGAGATAGCCTTAACGTTTGAACACGTGGCGGTAGCACACCAGTAATTCTCTTAAAATTGTTCAGGTTATATATAGGTTTCTCATAGGTTTTTAAGAGAGAATTATTGGGGTGTTACAAAGTGGTATCAGAGCTTAGGTTAGATTTAATTACTACTAAAGCCAATTAGCTTAGTATGACTTAAGTGCCTATTCAATGATTTAAATTTTGAATTTTAATGACAAATTTTTTTTTATTCATTTGAAACTAAGTATGTTTTAAACCATTTTATTTAAAACAATCTTAAAGTTTATTTTGTCTACTTGGTGAGTTTTGGGTAGACTTAAGAAGGGAATGCATGCATACATCATACATATTTTTTTTCTTGCATTTAATTATCACATGAAGTGTTATTTTCCTATTTATTTAACATGTTATAATTATGTTCTAATTGATTTATTTTTATGATGTGCTTGTGTTATGCTTTTTGAATGTTCGTTGCGTTGGGTTAACGTAGAAAAAGGATGAGCGACTCAGTAATCACGTCTGAAAGCGTGAGTAATGATATTAGGAACAACCCCATTGTTGTGCCTGAGGATGAGAATGATACTCGAAGTGACGATACTGTGGAAAGGTTTGAAAAGATTATGACGCCAACTAATCCAGATGAGGAAGACTATCATTACTTACATGAGTTTAAAACAGCAAAGAATAAGAAATATAAGATTACAACCTACCAAAGAATGTTCCATGATTATACTCTTATTGAATTTCCAGATGAGGATGAGCTTGAATGGTTACAACCACCACCTGAAGATCCAAATACTGGGAAGAGAGCTACTAGAAATCCGAATCCACTCTACAAGTCAATTATTATTGAAGACTCAGATGACGAAAATGACCTTGATTTTGATGTTAATAATTATAATGAGAAGAGAGATAAGAACAGTAATGTGATACCTTGAGGATTATTTTTGTTAGGGTGGAGTTAGCATGAATAAGGCATTTGCCATTGATAATAGTTATTAGAACCTCATTATAGTCTGGTTTGGATGATTAATTTTAATAAGTAGCTAGTGCTACAGAGTCTTTATTTGGGATTGATACCTTTATATAAGTTATAATAAGAAGTTGATATTTTATTTTTAAGAGCTTCATTTCACTTTTATTTGTGAGCAAGAGCAAGTTTAATTTTTGTAATCATATACTTTTTGGGGAAATTATTTCTTTGTCTATGATCAAACTTAATAAGAGTGTCGCGGGATGGGGAAATTATTTTCTTAACTTCATTTTATCCTGCGTATGAATCGTGCTTTTATTGTGTGGTTTTGCTTGGGACAAGGGGTTGCAATCTCAAGGTACCCTTTTGAACCAATTTATGTGACAAATGTAATATTGTGATTCAATGAATATGTGTGAATAGTATTTGGGTTTCGTTTAAAATGGAGTGCATATTTATTTTATTTCAGGCGTAGAGCTAGAATGGCTGAGAACGCTGCCTTAGCTGATGCTATTCGTTTGTTAGCTGAAAATGTGATCCAAAACCAAGGAGACCAAGTCGACCCCCAAGCTGAAATGTTTAAGAAGCTGGCCCAGGTTAGACCACTAGTTTTTAGGGGAGGTGCTGACCCTACTGTCCTAGAAAATTGGATTCGAGAGTTTGACAAGCTGTTCGTGGCACTCAACTGTCCCGAGGGTATGAAAGTGGACCAGGCCGCTATGTATCTTAAGGACGAAGCTGATATCTGGTGGAGAGACAATGCTGTGACTGTTAGGGCCAAACCTAACTTTGGGTGTGAAGTGTTTAAGACCTCCTTGAGGGACAAGTTTTACCCCCCGTTCCTGAAAAAACAGAAGGCTCAGGAATTTATAAGCCTGGCAATGGGAGACATGTCAATCTCTGAGTACTATAATAAGTTTATGACTCTTTTCTAGGTTTGAACCTGAGGTAGTACCAACTGAAGAGCTGAAGGCTTAGAGGTTTGAGCATGGATTGACTAACGAGTTACAGAAGGACCTAGCCGGAAAAGTTTTCAAAACCCTTGACAAGGTGTATGAGAGAGCTGCCCATCTGTACCATCTGAATACTAGGACTGCTAGTGCGAGTGCTAAAGCTGGGGAGAAAAGGAAGGATTTTGGGAAATCTGAGAACTAGGGTAATTTTAAGAGGTCTAGGAATGGGAACTCGTTTGATAGGGGTAACCAGAATGTTAGCAGTTCTTCCAATGCTAACAATGGAGAAAGAACCTACCACTGTAAGAAGTGTAGAAGGAACCACCCTAGGAGAGATTGTGATGGGAATTTGGTGACCTGCAGGTTCTCTAACAAAAGGGGACACAGGGAGTATGAGTGTTACACCAAACAGAAACAACAGGGAAATGGTGGGAATGGTGGGAACACCCAGCAGAGGCCTAACAATTTCAACAACCAGGGGAATAGGGGAAATGGTCAAAATGGGAAGTTTGGGAATGGTAGCAACAATAACACCAGGTCTGGCAATGGCAACAGCAACAACTCAGGCAACAATAACTCAGGCAACAACAACAATGGGTATCAGGCAAGAAACAACACTCCGACCGCTTGTCTGTGATGAGAAAGGGAGAAGCTGAGAGGTCCTCGGATGTAGTTACTGGTACTTTTTCTATCCAATCTATCTCTGTCAACACTCTATTTGACTCTGGAGCAGCTTATTCTTTCAATTCTACTTCTGTTGTGCGTAAGTTAAACTTAACTGAATCGAGTCATGTTGATGTGTCAGTCAGTCTGCCTACGGGCAAACTTGTTCATTGTAATAAAATATTCAAAGGCTTGCCTTTGAAAATAGGAGAAGCTATCTTTCCATCAGACCTTATTGAGTTTAACCTAGGAGACTTAGATGTAATTATGGGGATGGATTGGCTGAGTTTATACAAGGCTAAGATAGACTGTGAGATGCTGAGGGTACAACTGAGTGATCCTTTGGGTAAGAAAGTGTCCTATAGACGGTTAGGGAAGCCTAATGGTTTTGGGATCATTTCTGCTATGAAGGTGAAGAAGCTAGTGAATAAGGGATGTGCATTGTACTTTTGCTGTGTTTAAGATTTGAGTATGAGTGAGAATAGGCGGATGGAGGATGTGCCCATTGTGAATGAGTTTTTAGATGTCTTTCCAGAAGAGATTTCAGGAATGCCACCTAAGAGGGAAGTTAAGTTTACCATTGACTTAGTTCCAGGAGCTGCACCTATCTCCAAAGCACCGTATAGAATGGCACCAGCTGAGATGAGTGAACTAAAGGCTCAAATGCAGGAGTTTTTAGACAAGGGGTTCATTAGGCCCAGTGCATCACCTTGGGGAGCACCTGTGATATTTGTGAAAAAGAAGGATGGAAGTTTGAGGCTATGTATTGATTATAGAGAGTTGAATAATGTGACTGTAAAGAATTAGTACCCTCTACCTAGGATAGATGACTTGTTTGACCAACTGAAGGGGGCAAGCGTGTTTTCGAAGATTGACTTGAGGTCGGGGTACCATCAGTTGAAGGTTGCAGATAAAGACATTCGAAAAACAGCCTTTAGAACTCGGTATGGACATTACGAGTTTTACAGTCATGCCTTTTGGGTTAACTAATGCACCAACCATATTTATGGACTTGATGAACCGAGTGTTTCATGAGTATTTTGATAAGTTTGTAGTTGTGTTTATTGATGACATTTTGGTGTATTCGAAGAATGAGGAAGAACATGCTGAGCACTTGAGAACTACCCTTGAAACTCTTAGAAAGAACAAGCTGTATGCTAAGTTTTCCAAGTGTGAGTTCTAGTTGGAGAAAGTTGCGTTTTTGGGGCATTACATTTCGAAGGAGGGTGTATCCGTAGATCCTGAGAAGATTAAGGCGGTGAGTGAGTGGCCTACACCTAAGAATGTGACCGATGTTCGTAGTTTCTTGGGATTAGCTGGATATTATAGAAGGTTTGTCAAAGATTTTTCGAGGATAGCCAGACCCATGACTACTCTTATGAAGAAGTAGAGCAAGTTTGAGTGGAACGAGAGTTGTGAATCATCTTTTCAAACCCTCAAAGAGCGACCACTGCACCAGTGCTGGTATTACCTGATGGGATAGAAGGATTCGAAGTGTATAGTGATGCCTCGAATCATGGTCTGGGATGTGTCCTATAGCAGAATGGAAGGGTGATCGCATATGCATCGAGACAACTGAAGAAGCATGAAGTCAACTACCCTACCCATGACTTGGAGCTTGCAGCTGTTGTATTCGCTTTGAAGATTTGGAGGCACTACCTTTACGGTGTTTCTTGTAAGATCTTCACGGACCATAAAAGTCTAAAGTACATCTTTACCCAAGATCACTTGAACATGCGGCAACGTAGATGGTTGGAGTATCTTACAGACTACCATGTCCACATCCAGTATCACGAGGGAAAGGCGAATGTAGTTGCGGATGCCCTTAGCAGAAAGTCGAGTCATAATGTCAATGCTTTGATTGTGGCCAATGAGTTGTGTGAAGATATGAGGAGATTGAACCTTGAGGTTATCAACCAAGGAGAGTTAGAGGGATTACTGAGTGCTTTAACCATCCAACCTTCCATATTTGAGGAGATTAAAGAAAAGCAACTGGAGGATGAGTCGTTTCAGAAGATTAGGGATCGTGTGACTAGTGGTGCGGAGACTGAATTCAAGATTCATGAGGATGGGAGCTTGAGATACAAGGAGAAATGGTGTATACCACAGAAGTGTGAGGATATTAAAAGGAAAATCATGGAGGAGTGCCATAATACACCATATTCAGTTCACCGTGGGGGTGATAAGTTGTATAAGGATTTGAAGGAGTTCTATTGGTGGCCGAATATGAAGAGAGAAGTGGCTGAGTTTGTATCCAATTGTCTAACGTGCCAGAAAGTGAAGATAGACCACAAAAGACCCATGGGAAAGGTACAACCATTAGAAATACCAGGTTGGAAGTGGGATTCCATATCCATGGACTTTGTGACAGGCTTACCAAAGACTCGTACTGGGAATGACATGATTTGGGTGATTGTAGACATACTTACTAAGTCAGCGATGTTCATTCCTATCAAAGAAACCTGGAAAAAGAAGCATCTAGCAAGCGTCTATGTGAAGAATGTAGTTTGGTTGCATGGAGTTCCCAAGGACATAGTGTCAGATAGAGACTCGAGGTTTCTATCAAAGTTTTGGTAAAAAGTGCAAAAGAACCTTGGGACAACATTGAAGATGAGTACTGCCTTTCACCCTGCAACAGATGGTCAGACTGAGAGAACTAACCAAACCATGGAGGATATGTTACGAGCTTGTGCTTTAGATTTCCAAGGAAATTGGGAGGATCACTTACCTTTGATCGAATTCTCCTACAATATCAGTTACCATGCAAGCATCAAGATGGCACCTTTTGAAGCATTGTACGGAAGGAAGTGCAGAAGCCCAGTTTGCTGGAATGATTACAGTAAACGGGTTACTTTGGGTACAGATTTCATTGAGGATATGGTGGGCAAGGTGAGACTAATCCAGTTGTGTATCAAGGCAGCACAAGATAGAAAGAAGAGTTATGCTGACTTGAAGAGGAGAGATGATGAGTTTAATGTTAGGGACAAAGTATTTCTAAAGGTTTCTCCAACAAAAGGTGTGATGCGATTCGGAAAGAAAGGGAAGCTTAGTGCAAAATATGTGGGTCCGTATGAAATTCTCCAACGTGTGGGGAAAGTGGCTTACAAATTGGCCTTGCCAATGGAGTTCGAGAAAATGCATGATGTATTCCACATTTCCCAACTGAAAAAGTATGTGCCTAGTGAAACCCATGTTTTGCAGCCAGAGACTATTCAACTAGATGAGTCTCTAACTTATGAAGAAAGACCAGTCAAGATACTAGATCACAAGGTGCGTAGTACTAGAAACAAAGATGTGAAGATAGTGAAAGTCCTTTGGTCAAACCAGGAGTACGAAGAGGCTACTTGGGAGGCCGAGGAAGAGATGAAAAACAAATATCCCGAGTTGTTTGACGAGGTGAGTTACGAGGGCGTAACTCTTTTCTTTTGGGGGGGGGGGGAGAATGCGATGTAATTTTGCGCTTTTACCCCAATTATACCATTTATTGCTTGATTTTGCATGTTTTTGCATGTTTTTGGTTATCATTATGCATCATTATCGCGTTTACATACAATAAGAAGTATGTAAACTTTGGCCAACTATGAGTTCATTGAGTACAAAGTTCGATTTGTTGAGTATGCTTGTTGAGAAGCAAGCAATTTACATGAATACAAAACGCATAAGTTTGAATACTTTTGAGGAACTAAGGATTTTGGGTAAAGTTTCGAGGGCGAAACTTCTTTTAAGAGGGGTAGATTGTAATCCCCCATATTTTTAATTAATTATAATTTATTTATATATTATTCTCACAAATATTTTTATGTCAGTTTCATTAAATAAATTATTTCTTATGAAAAGATTTAAGTAAACTAATATGTTTATTTTTACTAATTTACAAACAATTTTAACATTATCGCCCAAAACCCAAATATTACTCCTAATCTAATTAGGAAACCCAAAGCCCAAATAAAACCCTTAAAAACCCTTACCCTTCTCCCCCTTCTCACGTTAAAAAAAAAGAAGAGCAGCTTTCACTTCCTCATCCTTCTCCCTGCTTTCACGAACACCATAAGAAAAAAAAAACTGCAACCTCTTACTGCCGCCCTGCCGCCGCGCCACTGTCTGACCGCCACCCCTCTGACCTCCGCGCCGCCCAGCACAACCGACCACTGCAGTTCGCCTTCCTCTTATTTCTCTTCCTTTATTTCTTGTTATTTTGATTAAAGATTCAATTTTTATTTGATTTCAATTATAAAATTATTGTTATTAGGCTTTAATAGTATGTATAAATTACAAAAGATTATAAATTTATGGGTTTTGTATGTCTAAATTACTAAATAAAATTTCAGATTATGTATTTTGTATATTTTAGGGTTTAAAGCATTGATTTTTCATGTTTTAGGGCTTGATAACGTGTTAATCAAACTATCTAATCATACTATGTTTAAATTACATTAAAGTATAATTATTTTAATCATATATAAATTTTCAGATTTATTAAAGTTTCAATTTTTATGAACAATTAGTGTTAATTTCATGTTTTTATGCTTCTAAACCTATAAAATAATTATTGTGAGTATTTTGTGATTGAAAAAGCTTTGAACTTTATATTCTAACTTTAAAAATAATTTTCAGATTTCATACCTTTTATTTTGAAGCCTCTAATTGCATTGAATTGATATATTCTTGGGTTTTTAACACACTAACTTGCTATATAATGACTATTTCAAGTAATTATGCTTATGGGGTTATTTTATATACTTAAAACAAATTTCCTGATTTATTTACCCACTTTAAAGTTGCTGTAATTTGATATAAAACACTATATTTTCATAAATTTAACATATAAACTTGAAGTTGGGATGTTATACTACTAACTATGATTTTTGGGGACAATTTAAAGGCTTTATTTTGATGATTTAAGAGGTTTTAAAGTAGTTTAGTATTGCTGTAATTTTAATTGCTTTGGTATTGATTTATTTCTAATTGTTTGGT